GAGACTTTTATTGGGGTGGCGTTAAATCTGTATATCACTTTTGGTAGGATGGTCATTTTGATGATGTTAATTCTCCTGATCCATGAGCAGGGGATGTCTTTCCATTTCATGGTGTCTTCTTGTATTTCTTTTAATAGTGTTTTGTAATTTTCCTTGTATAGGTCTTTTACCTCTTTTGTTAGGTTGACTCCCAGGTATTTGATTCTTTTTGTTTTAATTGAAAAGGGGATGTTGTTTTCTTTTTGTTTGTTTTTAATTTCTGCTGCTTCTGATTGGTTGTTTGCGTATAGGAAGGCCTCTGGCTTTTGTGTGTTGATTTTATATCCTGCTACCTTGCTAAACTGGTGGATGGTTTTGATTAGTTTCTCTGTGGAGTTTTTAGGGCTATCCATGTCGATTAACATGTCTTCTGCAAGTAAGGACAGTTTTACTTCTTCTTTCCCTATTTGGATTCCTTGTGTCTTATTGCTCTGACTACATCTTATTGCTGACTACATCTTATTGCTGTCTTATTGCTCTGACTACATCTTCCAATGTTATGTTGAATGCGATATGTATGCAATAGTGGACACCCTTGTCTTGTTCCTGATCTCAAAGGAAAGGCTTTCAGCTTTTCTCCATTGAGGATAATATTGGCTGTGGGTTTGTCATATATGGCTTTTATCATGTTGAGGTATGTTCCTTCTACTCTGAGGATTTCGAGGGCCTTAAACATAAATCCTCCAACTCTGTGTCTTTTTATTGATGAGTTTAAGCCATTTACATTTAGAGATAATATTGATATACTAGCACCTACATTTGCCATTTTGGTCCTTTTGTCTTTTTTTAGCTTCTTAGTGCTGTGCTTTAACCCTCTGTGCCACCAGGGAGGGCCTGCATAAATAAATCTTTAAAAAAAAATGGGTATGAGATCTGTAAGACAGTTCTCTGAAGAAGATATATGGGTGGCCAAGAAGCACATGAAAAGATACAGACTTAACCTTGTAGCTACCCCTAACTTCTTGTAGTAAGAATTGAAAGTATTGGGCAGACTAGCAAGCTGGAAAACTTCTCCTTCACCTCACAATTTGGCTAATTCTATATAAAACCACAAGTATATAAGATCAGAAAATATAAATCTAGATGAATATATAAATTTTTACTACATTTGTGTCTGTATAATTTAAATTTTTATACTTACCTGAGGATCTACTAACCACCCATGGTACAAAGGAATATCAAGGAGATCGAAAACTATGCATTCCGGCGTATATTCAAACACTCGAACACCAGTAAATTTTACATTTACATCCAAGCCTGTCTGTAGTTTGTGCAAAATTGCCATAGCATCACTCATATTCTAAACATAGAAAAGGGAGGAGTAAAAATGAGAAAAGTCAAACAACAGGCATTTAAATGCAAGCACAATTACTTTTAATTTTACATTTTATATAATTTATGTATTACCTCAACAAATTTTTGGTTAAATACCTATTATATGCCAGGTACAATAACACATGTCTATATTCTTAAGATTTAATAGTACATAAAATAGAATAAATAGCTAGCAAAAAAAGCCCCCAATCTGATACAACTAACACTTCACTGTAGAAGACAAATATTTATGTAAGTATACAACATAATGTCAGATGTCAGTAAGAAAAATTGACCAGGATAATGACATACAGAGTGACAAAGATTAGGGACTTATTTTAGACTATGAGGTCTAACAGACAAAAGTCTGTAATCAAATAAGAAGGTCTTTCCCATGTCTATAACTGAAAATAGGATCTTGAGAATCCTCCCTGGTGGCCTCAGTGCTCTCATCACAATGACTTGAGTTTGATACTTGGCCAGGGTGCTGACCCACATGGTACAGCAGATCTTTCCTGTCTCACCCGCTGCTCCCCTCAGCAGTGTATTTCAAAAGATCCTCCTGTTCTGCTGTGCACTCTGTCTCTGGTGAATCCTCTCACCCCTGTACCTCTGGCCTACACCCCAGTTCTTCTACAAAATAAATAAATGAATATTGAAAAAATGAAAAATAAATAGGAAGAGATTTGCATGCCCATGTTCATGTTCAGTATTATTCACAATAGCCAAAAGGTGAAAGGAAGACCCCTCAAACCAAATCCAACAAAAGAATGAACAAGAACAGTTCAAAACAAGGGAATAAAAGACAAAAGGACCAAAATGGCAAATGTAGGTGCCAGTATATCAATATTATCTCTAAATGTAAATGGCTTAAACTCATCAATAAAAAGACACAGAGTTGGAGGATTTATGTTTAAGGCCCTCGAAATCCTCAGAGTAGAAGGAACATACCTCAACATGATAAAAGCCATATATGACAAACCCACAGCCAATATTATCCTCAATGGAGAAAAGCTGAAAGCCTTTCTTTTGAGATCAGGAACAAGACAAGGGTGTCCACTATTGCATACATATCGCATTCAACATAACATTGGAAGATGTAGTCAGAGCAATAAGACAGCAATAAGATGTAGTCAGCAATAAGATGTAGTCAGAGCAATAAGACACAAGGAATCCAAATAGGGAAAGAAGAAGTAAAACTGTCCTTACTTGCAGAAGACATGTTAATCGACATGGATAGCCCTAAAAACTCCACAGAGAAACTAATCAAAACCATCCACCAGTTTAGCAAGGTAGCAGGATATAAAATCAACACACAAAAGCCAGAGGCCTTCCTATACACAAACAACCAATCAGAAGCAGCAGAAATTAAAAACAAACAAAAAGAAAACAACATCCCCTTTTCAATTAAAACAAAAAGAATCAAATACCTGGGAGTCAACCTAACAAAAGAGGTAAAAGACCTATACAAGGAAAATTACAAAACACTATTAAAAGAAATACAAGAAGACACCATGAAATGGAAAGACATCCCCTGCTCATGGATCAGGAGAATTAACATCATCAAAATGACCATCCTACCAAAAGTGATATACAGATTTAACGCCACCCCAATAAAAGTCTCAATGACATTATTCAAAGAAATAGAAAAAATATTGATGAGATTCATATGGAACAACAAAAGACCTCAAATAGCCAAAACTCTTATGACTAAGAAGAAAGAGAATGGAGGCATTACAATCCAAAACTTCAAGCTATACTACAAAGCCATAATAATCAAAACTGCATGGTACTGGAACAAGAACAGACATACAGATCAGTGGATTTGGATAGAAAACCCAGATATAAGCCCACAGGTTTATGGACAGCTAATCTTTGACAAAGGAGCAAAGAAGATACAATGGAACAAAGAAAATTTGTTCCGCAGATGGTGCTGGGAAAACTGGAAGCTACTTGCAAAAAAATGAAACTAGAGCAATACCTCACACCATACACAAAAATCAACTCGAAGTGGATTAAAGATCCAGACATAAGAACAGAAACCATAAAATACCTGGAAGCAAAGATGGGCAAATACTACACGACATACACTTCAGCCGCATCTTTAAAGATAGAGCACCCAATGCAACGGTAGTGAAAGCAAGGATAAATAGATGGGACTACATCAAGTTAAAGAGCTTCTGTACAGCAAAAGAGACATTACAACTGATTTGGAAAAAGGCACAAAATTATAGGAGAGAAGTGGAATTATTTGATGGGCACAGTTTCAGCTTAACAAGACCAAAATGTTCAATACATCTGTTATATAACATGAATATGATTAATGCCACTACCCTTACAAATATATTTTAGAATTTTAAGAATAAATTTTATATTGTTTTTAACCACAAATATAAGAAAATGAAGAAATGAGCTATTAAGTCACAAATTGAACAGAAGAAATTTAAATGTACAGTACTGAGTGAAAGGTTAGTCAATCTGAAATGGCTACATACTACATGATTCCAAATGACATTGTGAGAAAGGTAAAACAATAGAGACAGTGTAAAAACCAATGATTTCCTGGGATTAGGAGGAGGCAGAATCATATAGGCAGAGATTAGAGAATTTTTAGGGCAGTAAAACTATACTGTATGATTCAATAATGATAGATACATATCATTTTACACTTGTTAAAATCCATAGAATGTATCACACTAAGAGTGAACCCTGGTGATAAATTTTGTATTAATCAAAATAGCCTCAGTAGGGCCTCCCTGGTGGCGCAGTGGGTTAAAGAACAATGCTAAGAAACTAAAGTCACTTCAGCATAAGCTTGATCCCCAGTCCTGGAGGTGACCCACATGGCGCCACAGACCTCTCAAGACCCGCCCTCTGCTCCTCTCAGCAGTGTACTTCATCAGTCAGCCTATTCTGCTCCCCACTCTGTCTCTGGTGAATCCTCTCACCACCCCTGTAACTCTGACCTGTAACCCAGTTCTGTATGCATAAATAAATAAATATTAAAAAAAATAGCCTCACTAATTCCAATAAAAAATGGTATGTCATTTAAAAAATTAAAACAATTTTAAAAGATCTATTAAAAAAAAAAATTGGGCCCTCCCTGGTGGCGCAGCGGGTTAAAGCACAGCACTGAGAATCTAAAGCCGCTTCTGCATGAGTTCGATTCCCGCCTGCCCCGGAGGTGACCACATGGCGAGGCAGACCTCTCCTGACCTGCCGCTGCTCCCCTCAACAGTGTACCTTGTCGATCTGCCTGATCTGTTCCCTGCTCTGTCTCTGGTGAAGCCTCTTGCCGCCCCTGAGCCTCTGGCCTGTCCTCCAGTTCTGTATTCACAAATAAATAAATCTTTTAAAAAAATTTTTTTGATGGAGACCTCCCTGGTGTTGCAAGGAATTAAAGTGCAGCACTATGAGCTATCTGCAGCTACTGTGGCATGTGTTTGAACCGGGACAGGGCAGTGACCCACATGTCACAGCAGACCTCTCCAGTCTCACCTGCTGCTCTCCTTAGCAGTATATTTCAGTCAATCCACCTGTTCTGCTCCCCACTCTGTCTCTGGTGAATCCTCTTACCACCCCTGTAACTCTGGCCTGTAACCCAGTTCTGTATGCATAAATAAATAAATCTTTAAAAAAAAATAGCCTCACTAGTTCCAATAAAAATATGGTACATCATTTAAAAAATTAAAACTATTTTAAAAGATCTGTTAAAAAAAATTTGATGGCGGCCTCCCTGGTGGTACAAGGAATTAAAGTGCAGCACTATGAGCTATCTGTACCTACTGAGGCATATGTTTGAACCCGGACAGGACAGTGACCCACATGACACAGCAGTGTATTTCAGTCAATCCACCTGTTCTGTTCCCCACTCTGTCTCTGAGAATCCTCTCACCACCCCCATCACCCCCAACACCTCTGGTGTATCCATAAATAAATAAATCTTTAAAAAAAATAAAATTGATAAACGATATAAACTGAACTTTACCAGTTTATTCTTATGTCACTTGGAGGTTAGCATATGATTTCATTTGAAAAGGTTTCTATTGCTAAAAATATTTGTAAATCACTGCTTTGCTACAATTTTACTACAAATTGCTTAATATACCTATTTGGCGTTAGCTATACAGATTTCCAGTTTTACATTGTGATGTAATGCAACATGTTCATTTTTAGATTCTATTAGAACTATCTAACTTGAAAATTCAAATTCAGAAATTTTGCAATACTGAAATGAGTGTTTCTTCCCTTTTTGCCAATTTGGCACTGGTGAAAGTTTGGGAAAATATTGCTTTGAAAGTATGTTCTAAAGTTATCTATTTCTTCCCTGGGCTAAGCTTTCTTCAATGCTAAGAACCTCATACCTTCTTGCCCTTTCTTGTCAGGTTAAGGAAGATCGCTTAAGAAAATGAAGTTCTGTTTGTTTTCTTCCAGCTCTAAAAATCTAAGACTAGGCCCTCCCTGGTGGTGCAGCGGGTTAAGGTAAAGCACTAAGAAGCTAAAGCCACTTCCGCATGAGTTCTATCCCTGCCTGCCCCGGAGGTGACTACATGGCGAGGCAGACCTCTCCTGACCTGCCCGCTGCTCCCCTCAGCAGTGTACTTCGTCGATCTGCCTGTTCTGCTCCCCACTCTGTCTCTGGTGAGAACTCTCACCACCCTTGAGCCTCTGGCCTGTACCCCAGTTCTGTATGCACAAGTAAATAAATCTTAAAAAAAAATATGAAGCAGCAAGTTTTGTCCTAATGACAAGCCTCAGACATCATTTATTCCAATTTCTCCTAAATATAAATTGTAAAATATAAATAAAGTATGAAAGAGTGACAAATTCACTTAAAAGTCAATTTCAGGGAAGATACCAGATAAAAAAGCAAACAAAGTGGTGTCTGTCCTGCAAAGCCACTGACAGACACCAATGAATATAGATATAAGTTGAAAGTACATATTTTAATACAACAAAGATTATTATTCATGTCTATTACCTGTTCATAGTTTAGACGTTGAATTTCTGAAATTTCTTTTGGCTTTGCTTCGAGCATGTAATCTCCTGTAAAGAGAAATTGTGAAGTTGCCTTTTAAAAATATTGCTTTATTTCTGATTATAAAACAGACTTTAATTATACATTGTAGGAATAAGTAACTTAAAACTGATCCCCCAATTCTATTCACAGAGCAGTTATACTGTTTGCTATAATCTCACATATTTTTCAATGTATATACTACTATAATGATTTTGAACTTTTTTTCTATTTACAATATACTTGAGCATCTTTCTATGTTACTACATTTGAAACTAAAAGACTATATCGAGTTTCATTGCTAGTAACAATATAGCTTTTACTTCATTATTTTTATAAAATGGGTGCTATCAGTTGTCTAAATCTTTAACTTTCTGATAAGTAAACAATTTTTTGCATATAAAAATTGTTATTTTATTATTTGGTAGAACCTTTTCAATAATATGTATGTCCTTTTAGATGAGCCCTTTCAAGTGTATGTGACACTTTTTACTAAAACGTATGTATCATTACAGAATATGCAATATATTTTAACATATGCAGCACAAATTTAATAAATTAGTACATTTTTCCTTTTTAATTAAATATCAATTATATAAACTTCTCTATGACTTGCATGATAATTAATCATTTTTTCATTACTAGCTGTAAGAGCTCTTCAGTTAGAATTGAAAACATCAGAACATTTCTGCTATATATGTCATAAATTTCCTTTCATGTTGGCTTCTGACTTTATAGTGATATTTTGGTCTATTTTTTGTTGTACAGAAATACTTAATTTTAATATAGTCAAATTCTTCTGTTATTGCTTCCGGGCTTCATGTTTGGAAAGATCTTTGCCTCTTAAGAATAAACAAACATGTTTTCTCATGTAATTACTTGCTTGTCTTTTTAAATGTTTAAATCTTTATCTGACCCTTATTTTGAAATAAACAGTGATATACAGAATAAAATTCTCACCCAATCTTCCAAATCACTAACAAGTTGGTGAAATTATTTTTAATATAATGACCTTAATTTTTTTAATGACCTTAATTTTCTAACTCAAAATAAACTTCTAAAGATTGCATCAAGTATTCTTTTAAACTTTCCAACTCTAACAGAGGTATGTCTAATCACCAAGATAGTCTTATTTGTGCTGTTATTTAGAACTTATATTATTGTGATCTCTCCCCCTGCCAGTGACTATGCAAGTACCCCTCTATTTCTTTTTCCTCTTCCTAATAAACTGTCCTTTTTAAAGGGGAAAAAAAAAGAAGAAGAATGAAAGAAGTTATTGCAAAATCTAACTAGTAATAACATTTTGGAATAACAACTCCAAAGGCACTAAATTAACTGACTCACAGAAATAAGTAGGTAGTTTAAATATTTTGTAAGTCCCTACTACGGTATATGGCATATTGCATATATGTTGAGGTTTTGATACAAAATTTATGTAAAAACAAATAGAAACAAAATTTAACAAAAATTAAGTTTTCTTTTGAGTAATTCTATATATTTATTTAAACAATAGCACAATTTCTCTTCTTACATGCTATAGTTCCCATAAGTTCTGTATTTATCCTGATAAAAGACTATCTATGCTTTCCTAACACTTTTGTCTTCAGGATGAAAAATATAATTCAATATTAAATGACCCGAAGGTAGACTAATTATTGGGAGAAGCACTGATGAACAACTTCTTACCTGAGGTCAGGAAAGCTATCTGGACAAGAGAAGGATGACCTGTCCTAGGAAGGCAGCCCTGTTAGATGGACCTCAATCCAAAGGTTTACACCTTTGTGTAAATCTCTCCCCTTGAAAGTAGACTGGACTTATTTTTGGCTCACTTTTAGTGAATAAAATATGACTGAGATAATGAAATGTCACTTCCAAAAATAGAATACAAAATATGTGGCTTTTGTCACGGTGCTTTATCAACTTGCCCACTCTGCAAAAAGCCAGTTGCCATGCTTTTTTTTTTTTTTTAAGATTTATTTATTTATGCAAGAACTGGGTATAGGTCAGAGGTGTGGGGTTGAGAGGATTCACCAGAGAGAGAGTGGGGAGTAGAACAGGGATATCTATACTGTAGAAATACAATGCTGACGGGAGCAGCAGGCGAGGCAGGAGAGGTCTGCTGGGCCATGTGGGTCAGCTCCCAGGCTGGGGATCCAACTCGTGCTGCAGCGGCTGCAGATAGCTTCATAGTACTACACTTTAAAGTTTCACCACCAGAGAAAGGCCTGCCATGCTCTTCAGTTGCCTTATGGAGAGGCCCACACAGCAAAAAACCGAAGGAAGCCTCTGGTCACAGTCCAACTACCTATGAGGGATTAAATTTTACCAACTACCACGTGAGTAAGCTTGGAAGCAGATCCTCTCTTGCTGTACCTGGACATGAGAATGCAGCCCCAGCAGACACCCTGACTACAACCTCGGAGACACCTTAAATCAGAACTACTCAACTAAATTGTACCCAGATTACTAATCTGCAAACAATGTGGGATAATAAATGATCATTGTTTCAAGCCACTAAATTTTGAGGTGATGTCTTATATAGCAATAGATGTCTATATTTTCAAGAAAGTTCAAAAAAGAATCAAGTATTTTTTAAGGGCTGGGTTTGTGTTTCTGTTGGCTCATCATTCAGTTTTAGATTTGTAAAAAATATCATCTCTTACTAAGGTTGTGTTGCCCAGTTTATCTACCCTTGCATCTGAAATTGGCTGACAATACTATTGTCATCAAAAAGTATTTATTGACAATTATATTTTGTATGGGTAAAAACAAACATTAAGACATGAATGTTTCACTAAAAAAAATAATAATTTGGCTGGGCAAAGAACACACAAGAAACAGACAAAGGTAATGGTAAGAGTATAACTCAGTATAAAATATAATGTCTTAAGTACCAATGAGCTTGAAAAGTGATAAAGGGGGAAGCGGTGATGGCAAAATCACAAAGAGGACATATCATAGTCACATGGACAATTTATAAGAAAGTTTAAACATAAATATATGTTGCAGAATGGTGGAAAATTTATGACTAAATAAACTTGATGAGATTATAGAGTCATAATTAATTGCTGATAAATTTGGCTGCTTGTGAAAGATTATAAAGAATGTTTGTTTTTAAATTTTTTTAAAAGATTTACTTATTTATGCTTACAGAATTGGGGTATAGGCCAGAGGTGTGGTGAGTGAGAGGATTCACCGGAGTCTGAGAGGGGAACAGAACAGGCAGCTGTACTGAGATACACTGCTGAGGGGAGCAGCAGGCAGGTCAGGAGAGGTCTGTTATGCCATGTGGGTCAGCTCCCTGACCGGGGATCAAGCTTGTGATGCAGTGGCTTCGGAAAGCTTCAAAGTGTGGTGCTTAAATTTGTTGCACCACCAGGGAGAGCCCTGTTTTAAATTTTTAAAGATTTATTTATTTGTACATACAGAACTGGGATACAGGCCAGAGGCTCAGGGGCAGTGAGAGACTTCACCAGAGACAGAGCGGGGAGCAGAACAGGCAGATCAACGAAGTACACTGCTGAGGGGAGCAGCGGGCGGGTCAGGAGAGGTCTGCTGCGCCATGTGGTCTCCTCCGGGGCAGGCGGGGATTGAACTCATGCGGAAGTGGCTTTAGCTTCTCAGTGCAGTGCTTTAACGGGCTGCACCACCAGGGAGGGCCACTATTTTAAATTTTTAAGTAGATTATGGATGAAACTGATGTTCTAAGATGATAGCAGAGGTACGTAGGCTAATTTGGAGATACTAATTTGGAGAGGAGCGGAAACAACAGAGCTTACCATAAAACATGTTATGAATTATTAATATAGAGAGAGGAGAAAGAATTTCAAAGAAAGAATTCATAATTCGTTGCTAATTCATTCTTCTTTGTTATTAATGGGATATTCCAGATAAACAGAAATCAAAAAACTAAAAGCCGATAGTTATGAAAAAAATGGAAGCTTAGTTTATTGCTGCTTTATTTACAATTGGAAAGACATGGAAACAACCCAAATGCCCAAAAGTGGGTGATTGTATTAAAAAGATGTGGTACATATACACAATGGAATATTACTCAGCAACCAAAAAAAACCCCAAAAAACAAAAAACAATACACACACATGTGCCTTTTGCAGCCACAGGGATGGAGCTGGAAATGATCATGCTTAATGAAATAAGCCAGAAAGAAAAGGAAAAATACTGGATGGTTTCACTTATAGCAGGAGTATAAAGGACCAAGCGAGAAAATAATAATAATAATGAACAGCTATCTTCCAGAGACATTTTAAGGGGGTGGTGTGGGGAATGGAATCCTTAACAGTGCGGGGAGGGAAGTGCACTGTACTGTGATGATGGCACATGATGATGGCACATGGTGATTTGGTGATGGGAAGTCCAAAGGGATCACAACTGATATGGAAAAAGGCACAAAATGAGGTAAAAATAAACTATTTATATTATTATTTAAAAAAATTTTTTTTTTTAAATTTAGCTAGGTGAACCTTTGGAAAAGAGGAGACATCAGTTTTGAGCAAAATTAAAGTGCTGCAACATTAATCTCACTTTATGGTATTTATATTTTAAGAAGTAAAGTAAGTTATCTTTTTAAAAGTCAGACAACACTACCACCCCAGCTACTTTCTTCCCTACTATAAAACTATGCTAGCCTCATCATCATACAAATTATTTTGGATAGTTAAAATCATAGTTTATATTCCAGTTTGTACTGTGCTTTTTATTATCTTTGTACTCATTTCCCTACTTTATTTTCTCAGAACTGCTAGCACTTCCCAATTTGTCACATTCTTTTCACTATGTCAAAGCTCTCCAACAAGCATGTCCATGTGCTTTGATACATATGATATTGATATCTTTCCTGCTTTAATACATTGGTAATAAAAAATTCCAAATGAAAACTCAATCTTCCTCTGCCAAATTTCCCATTCCCTGTGATTTCTCAGCTAGGTATTAGGAAAGCAATTAATTTCTTTTGTAATCTTTCTATTAATGTTTGTGTATTAACTCACAGTTCTCAAGAGGAGAAAAATAG